GGTGTTGGCCTTGTACATGGCTGACCCGTGCTCCATCCCCGGCACCCCCTGAGCACTGCTGGGTGTGTCCTCAGCCCCCCGGCACCCCAAATAAGGAAAATGTGCATGAGCACACAACTGAAACGAGTGCAGCCCCTGGTCAGCACATGTGCAGGCTCTGCATGGAGGCCAGGCTGACACTGAGGCCAGGAGTGCAGGAGCACAGAGCAATGTGAGCTCCACAAGGAAACGTATAGCAGAGGGGAGGGGGCGGAACAACCACCTTTATTTTCTAATTGCATATATACTTTTTCATGTCTGAGGTTTTATTTTCTTATTTTAGATTTTTGTTTGTTTGGGGGGTCACACCAAGTGATGCTTAGAGCTTATTCCTGGCTCTGTACTCGTGAATTATTCCTGGCAGTGTCTGGGGAACGGTTTGGGATGCCAGGGATCAAACCAAAGTCAGACACATGCAAGGCAAATGTCCAACCCACTGTGCTGTCGCTCCAGCCCCTCTTGTGAAGGATTTTAATCTGGAGTTTGACATCTGTGTTCTTTAGAGGTGGGCAGTGCCAGGGATCAAACTGGGGTCTGCCACATGCAAGGTGGCAAGTGTCTAGACCCCTGTGGTGTCTCTTGACCCCTCAATTATTTTTTTAATTGAATCACTGTGAGATACAGTTACAAAGCTTTCATGTTTAAGTTTCAGTCATACAATGATCAAACACCCATCCATCCACCAGTGCCCATTTTCCACCACCAGTGTCCCCAGTATCCCTCCCACAGCCCAGCCCTCCCCCTGCCTCTGTGGCAGACAATTTCCCCATACCCTCTCTCTCTACTTTTGACCCTTCAATTCTTTATATCCGCCTCAAATGGTCTGTTCTGATCTGTCCTTTGCAGGCTTGGGTGCCCTTCTCTGTGCGCCCATGTCCTTTCCACAGGGCAGGAGAGGGAGGAATTTTATCTCCAGGTGCCTGGAGCGACCTGCTGGGTCTGGCCTCTGACTCGCTGGGTCACAGCATGAAATCACTCTTTCCTTAGCATAGCTGCATTACCGTTTTTTAAGGTTAAACCTAAAATATGACTGATCAGACTCTTGTATGCATCTCGAGATCTGTGAACCAGACACAGGGAGGCCCTGTCAGATCATCCATAGACTTTTCCGTGGTGACCTCACAGGACAGATGGTACAGCATAGACAGGACATTCCAGGGAAAGGATGTTCTTGTTTGGGGCTGGGAGGGGCCCAGAGGAGGAAGCTTGCCGGCAGTGCTTAGATTCTTGTTTGATTCTTGGCTCTGCAGAGCGGTGCTGCTCAGGCTGGCAGTACTCAGGGGCAATCAGGCCCATACCCAGCACACTGGGGGGCCCATCAGGTATCAGGAATCAGACCTTGAGCTCCTCCTGCAAGGGACGCCCTCCAGTCCTGTCATCTCCCTGGGCCCAAGAAAAGTATTTCCAGCCAAGTTAACACTCAGAGTCAAAGGAGGGGTTAAAGGCTTTATAGCTAAAATTTAAAGTGAAATTAAAGTTTGGGGCCAGGGAGATTGTACAGCAGGTAAGGCACTTGCTTTGTCTGTAGCGGGACTTGCCTGGATCCCAAATCCTCAAAGGAACCACTTCTTTGGCAATGTCAAGAGTGATCTTTGAGCACAGAGCCAGGAGTAAGCCCTGAGCACTGCTGGGTGTGCTCCCCCACCAACAAAAAGAGCAAAACTTAAAGCAGTTTATCAGCACCAGCCTTGCAAGAAATATTAAGGTGACTTAAAAAACAAAAAGCATTTCTGTGTAAGAGCAGTGGGACACCACAAATTTGCATCACGGGAACTGAAACTGTAGCTCACCAGAATGAAATCGAGCTCAAGCCATTTAATGGGCCATAAGTATATAATCTTACAAGGAAACATGCAAGATATCCTTAAAATCTTATGAAGAAAAATATTAATTGAAAAAAGAACACAAAAGTAAAGATGCTAGTGTACAATAAAAGAAAATAAGACAAAAACAAATGAACAAAGACAAACTAAAAGGTAGATAAATAAAATGCCAATAAATACATTTCAACATGACCCTAGATGTTAATGCTCTAAATTGATCTATTATAACGCATAGAGTGATTGAATGGGTTCAAAAACAAAATCTGACTTTTGGCAGCCCACAAGAAACTCATCTTCACTCCAGAACAGATATTATGGGTTCAAAGTAAATGGTTGGAAAGCAATCCTACAAATAAAGGGTAATCTGAAAATGGCACATACAGCTATATTTATATCAGATAAGATAAATGCCCAGCAGGCTGAAGAGACAGGACAACAGGTGAGGTGCTTGCCTCGCTGTTACCCTGGTTGATCCCGTGAGCCTCATACGGTCCCAAGTATCACCAGGAGTGATCCCTGAGCACAGAAGATTCAACCCTGAGCACAGCTGGATGTGACCCGAAAGCCAAAAAATAAAATAAATTTCCAGAAATAAGAGGTAAGAAAAGATAGGGGAAAACGTTAACCCAATAGGAATCTGTTCCACCTAATATCTATATACACCAAATGATGGAGCACCAAAATATATAAGGCAAAATAAATATGTAGTTAGTATACAAGAGTGATATTAACAGCAACACAGCAGGGAGTTGTAGCACCCCACTTAGAACCATGAATATGTCAACCAGAGAGAAAATGAAGGAGACAACCTGAACTGACAAACCAGACCAGATGTCTTAATCGGCATTTATAGAACATTTCACCTCCAAACAACTGACTTTGCATTTTTCTCAAGGGCCCATGGAATGTTTTCAAGGATGCCTTATGCTAGGACACCAAACAATTGTCCATACACTTAGGAAGATTGAAATCCTATGAGGTATTTGTCCAGTCACAGCACTCTAAAACTAGACGTCAACTTCAGAAAGAAAAGAGGAGAGGGTCACGGGGTGTGACCCAGAGCACACAGGTGACACACAGGCTCAGTCCCCGGCACCTTCAGAAAAGGGGACAAGGGAGCCTCAGACATGGTGACTAGACAGTGTACGTCTTACTAGCCATTGGGTCAGGCCAGGAAAACAGTTCAAAGGGCTGAAGCACGTGCTTTGAATGTCAGAATCTTGGGTTCAGGCAAACTCCACTGTGTATAACCCTCAAGCACTGTGCCAAGCATAGCCTTTAAGCACAGCCAGGTATGCTCCCTCACACACACCCATACCTACAAATCATTGGGTAAGGAAGGAAGTCAAAGCATAAGTTTTAAAATACCTAGAGATAGAGCCGAAGCGATAGTACAGCAGATGGGGCGCTTGCCTGCATGAAGTTCCCAGGTTTGATCCTTGGCATCCCATACGGTCCCCTAAGCCCACCAGGAGTGATTCTTGAGCACATAGGTAGGAGTCAGCCCTGAGCACAGCCAGGTGTGGCTCCCAAAACAACAAAAGTATCACAACAATCTGAGTAAACAGGTGACGTTTGACAGGGCGCAGCACCCATGGATCATTAAAGCTCCTAATAAAATGGTGATAAAAGAAACATACTTCGACAGAGAGGTCGACTACAAACTCGCAGCTAGCAACATACTCATCAGTGAAAAACTGAAAGCTTTTTCTTGTCTTTTTCTTCCTTTTTGTTTTTTGGCTTTTAGGTCATACCAGGCAGTGCTTGATAGCTACTCCTGGCTCTGTGCTCAGGGTTCACTCCTGGCAGTGCTCAGACATTGTGTGCCTGACATGATTTAAACCCAGATCTCCTATAGGTAAAGCATTCAATAACTTTACTCCAATGGCAAAAGAAATGAAAGCAAGTATAAGCGACCGGAGGGATCATGCAAGGGTTAAGGCACTTGCTTTGTATGTGGCTGACCCTGGTTTGACCCCCAGCACCAAATAGAGCGTCCCAAACACTGTCAGGAGTGATCCCTGAGCACAGAGCTCAGAGTAAACACTGAGCACTGCTGGGTGTGGCCACACCCTGCAGAATCAAATAAATTTTTTAAAAAGCATCTGTCAAATTAAAAAAAGGCTTTGTACAGAGATGGAGAGAAGGCTCAAGAGGCTGGAGCACTTGCTCTGCTTGCAGGAAGCCGAGCTTTGATCCCAGTGTGACAGTCCCTTGAGCATCGCCAGGAGATCTCTGAGCACTGTCCTGGTAGTCATCCCTGGATGTTGCCGGGGTGACTCCAAACTCAAAAATAAGTAAGTTTTTTTTTTAAAAAAAAAACAGTTTTTGTACAGTGAAAGAAAACATTAATGGAATGAAATAACAAGTACTGATAGGAGATATTCATACATCATATCTGATAAGGGTTTAATATTCAGTGTATATATAGAACAGAGATATTTCCTAAGAATGCATAAATAATAACCAAAAAAAGTCAGCCCATTATAAAATGGGTAGAAGATTTGAATAGATACTTCTCCAAAGGAAACAGCAGTGGCCAGCAAACAGGACAAGACGCTCACTTAGAGGGGAAATGAAACTCAGAGCCCCAGGGGATGCTTTGATACCTGTGCAGGTGGCGCACATTGAAATGAAGGAGTATCAGTGACTGTGGAGAAAATGTGGCTCTCAGATGCTGGTGGGGCTTTCAGCCATTTTGGAAAGCAATACGGAGCTTCCTCAAGAAGTCAGAGTAGAACCCCCGTAGAATCCAGCAGTCTCACTTCGTCCAGAGCAGGAAATCAAAAACTTGAAAGTTATATCTACCCCAGGCCAGTGAGAGCACAAGGAAGAAGCCGGACCTCCTGCATGTACCATATATTCTCCAGGAGTAACTCCCAGAAGCTCCCAAGTGTGGCCCCAAAATAGTGCTGCCTCGAATTAAACTCAGGCCCTCACATACTCGAGACATGCACTGTGCCACTGAGCCATATCACCCCACTCCCCACCCCTGTTTTTTTTGGTTTATTTGCTTTTAGTGTAAAGAATGATCAGATCAGGAAATAAAGTCAGGACTATGTCAGGAATCAGCATGGACTTGACTCGCATGTCTTGGCCTGAGGAGATGACTGGCGTTCTTCTACTTTGCACCCACAGCTGCTGCTGGACACCCATTCCTTGAAGGTGGTCCTACTCGACCTCCCCTCCATTGGCTCGCAGGTGGTGAGGAAAGCCCCCGCCAGCTACACGAAGATTGTGGTGAAAGGCATGACCCGGGCGGAGATGATCCTCAAGGTGCACTGACTCCCTTCGCGTGTCTGACAGAGCGACTGGGTGGCTGCGGGCTGGGATTCAGAGGGTTGTCTGCATTCTCAGACTACGCTGGCCATTGGCCTTACCGGATGTGAGTCAAACTCGGTAGCCAGTTTGGGGACCAGTCACTCTTCCTGACAGATGACTTCTTTGTCATAACGGTCTTGTTAAGTTTGGCCAAGATCAGGAATGAGCTGGTCTTGTCACGGTGAATTGCTCTCTGCTCCCCTGAAGCCCTCCATTAGCACTGCCTCTCTGGCGTTTTGTCCACCGCGGCTGTGCGGGAACACTGTGCAGACATGACAGGGCTTCCTAAAACCCCTCTGAGGGCTGAGGACATGTTGAATGTCTAAGCCTTGCCCTCCTGCCCTGAGCAACACCTATACTGGTTGAGAAGCGAGGGCATTGAGGAGAGGGGCCAAGACTCAGGAATGTGCAGGATCAGCGTGGAATTCAGGTCTGCCTCACAAACAGATGACAGCAGGAATGGACATTGCCTGGGGTCTGGAACAGCTGCCCAGAATTGCCCAGACATGGCCTTCCCCAACCACTGCCCTCTCGTGGGGCAGGGGCACACGGTTCAACGAGAACCTGCAGAGAGTTTCTGAGTCTGCTAGTCCTTGCTGCACCTCAGTGCATGTCAAGAATTTCCTAAGGAGAAAGAAAATCAGACTCAAGTTTCAACACAACAAGAAATGAACTGGAGGGTCCTTTTCTTCTGTTCGTATACTGAGTTTCCATCAATGTTTCCCAGAGAAGACAGTAGCATGTGCAAACACATGTGCAAACCCAAACACACACACGCACACACATACACACACAAGACAGGCATATACCACACACAGAGACCACAGACACACATACATAGATACAGACAGATGCAGATTCACACACAGACACTAGCACAATAACACATTCAGACATGCAGACACACACAGATAGACATACACACATAGACACAGACACAGACACATCGATATGCATACACAGATAGACATGCACACACACATGCACATACACGTGATGTACACGTACACAGACACATAGATATGCACACACAGACATGCACACACGCAGACATGCACACGTGCGCAGATATGCACACACAAAAACGCACACGCATGCACGCACACAGACACAGACATGCACACACACATTCCGTAACTGAAATGATAGGGGGATTAGCAGCCCCAGGTGCAGTTGGGGGACACTTTCTGTTTGTTCACAGAAAGAAGGTAGTTTTCGGGAGAGCGTTGAATGATTTTTTTTTCCCTGAAAGGGGGACAGGGGCACCGGGGGTTGGAGCAGCTGGCCAAGAGAGGGCAGTTCTAGCAGGCTCTAGGCCTTGGGCCCTGGGGAGCGGGAGGCAGCACCTCGGCAGTGCTGCTCTGAAGAAGCCGGCTTCTCTCCACGCCCCGTGTCGCCCGCCTATCCAGGGCAGGGCCCTCTCCACAGGAGGCCCTCAGACACAGCTTCCCCAATGCCCTGACCTGTGAGACTCACCGGGGACACCCCCCCCCCCGCCCTCTGAGTGGGAAGCTTCAGGAGAGGCGTATCACTTATCCTTCATGGGCAGGCGCGGGGGTGGGGGGGGGGGTAACTCACCCAATTTCAGAACCATTGTTCTTCCTGAATGTGAAGGCAAACTGGGCCAGGGGCCTTTCTGAGCCGCAAGCTGCTGGCCATCGCAGAGTCCACTTGGTGGGCAGCCAGCGACCTACCCTGTGGAGTGTGGGTGGGCCGCCCATCAGTGCCGGCCTTATCTCTCCCTACAGGTGGTGATGGCCCCACATGAGCCCCTGGAGTTATTCGTGGACAACTATATCAAACTCCTTATGGACTATAACACAGAGACCTTCCAGAAGATTCTGGATATGAAGGTCAGCTGGGGGGTTCTCTCTCTGTCCTCAGGAACATCCTCACGTTCGGTTTCTATTCTGGGGGTGGCTCCTGGGTCTGTGCCTAGAGGTGTTGGGTGTGACCCCAGGGCCGTGCATGCTGGGCTCACCAAGCCTCAGCCCCCCCAGAGTCCTGCAGGTGTATTTAACCCATGAAATCCTCATCCTCGTGTGACAGTTTGGGACTCCACCCGTACGTCCCTTCTCCTGCAGCCTGGGCGTGCAGCACTCACGCTCCTCCTCTCTCCCCCCTGCAGGGCCTGAAGCGCAGTGAGCAGAGCAGCATGCTGGAGCTCTTCCGCCAGCGGCTCCCGGCGCCGCCCTCCGGGCCCGACGGCTCCGGCTCACTATCCCTGCTGACCCCCACGCCTGAGCAGGAGTCGTCGCGCATCCGCAAACTCGAGAAGCTGATCAAAAAGAGACTGTAGGGAGGGACCTGGGACGCCCCCCCCCCCCACACACCCCCAGCTACCCGGAAGCCCCCACCAGACCCTCCTGTACTCCCCCCACCCCCAGATATCAGGTGGTCAGTATTGAGATTTGCGCTGCTGGTGTGTCTCTCTAATCCTCTGTCTTCTGTCCCCTTTTGGAGCCCAGAAGTGAGTAAGGCCAGGGTTGGGGAGGCCGGGCCAGGCCCTGCTGCTGCCCTGGACTGGCCACACACCTTGGACGTCCCCCGCCGCCGTGTGGCCCTGTACTCTTCCGAAGCACTGCCCAGTCCGGTCTCACCCCTTCCTGTGTCTGCTGCTCTCTGGGCTCCCAGTGTCTCAGGAAGCAGTGAGTGCAGGTGCAGAATGTGTCCCCAGATAGAGGGGGGGCCGGGGTGGGCTCCTGCACCCAGGAAGTGTCCCCCAGGATGACAGCCCCTGGGGGAGGGGCTCCTGCATACTCTCCCACAGTAGTCCCACTTCCGGGCACACATTTTGCTTCTGGTGCTTTCTATGATGTGGCAGTGAGTTGTCCCAGTGTTCACTCAGAAACCCAGGGCTTCTCTCCATCTGATCCGGGGTCTCCGTGTGCAGTCCTCACTGTGGAGGGCTCCCGGCTGGGTCGGAGAGAGAGAGCTCAGCCTGCACCCTCGCGCACGCGCGGTACGGACAAATGGTCTCTCCTGTCTGTGCTCCCACTTGGTAGCCTCTCTGCAGACAAAGGAGGGGACCAGCCCCCGAGGCCCGACTTCTGACCCCCCTCCTCCCAGTTCCCATCACATCCAGAGCCCTTTCCAGAAGCCCCGGATACAAGGTGTTGTTTGGTGGCTGGGATGCCAAGCCTGATACCACTCTGGGCACACCCTGGCCAGGCCTGCGTTCCTGTGAGGGGACGGCCTCTCAGCTCTGCCTCAGGCAGAGACTGCCTCTCCCCTGGCCACCCTGACTCACCTGGTTTCCTGGCCATGAAGCCTCGGCAACCCACAACCAGGGCCAGAGGGGAACAGTACTGGTGTGCACATTTGTTCCTGAGTCATGAACAGTTGCTTGGCACAGGTGCCATCGAGAAGAAGGTGGGGCTTCCAGAGACTATCTGTCCCATCACAGGCTTTGAGTAAAGTGGGATGACCAAGGAGCACTCACACGCAAGTTTCCAGGAGGCTGGGGAGGGATCGGAGGGCCAGAGCTCAGGCCGGGCACCCGAAGGGCCCCAGGCTCGGTCCCTGCCCACCGGGAGGCTGCCCGCCCCCGAGAAGACAAAACACTTCAGAGCAGAGACATTCTTCTGGAAATCCATAGACACTTGAGACAGCCATAGAGTAGGAAACTAAGATTTTAAAACCTGCCCCAAACCCCACGGCCTCCCTTCTTGTTTTCCCAGTCTGGCCTCTCTGCCATGCTCCTTCCCTGCCCAGCCTCCTTTCTTCGTTGGTTTCCAGCCTCCTCTTTTTAGTTGGCACGACGGGCAGGCATGGAGCCTCTCCAGCCCACCAGCCCTGGAGCAGTCAGGGGTGGGGGGGTGCGTGTGGCTTTAGCTGAGATCAATTAGGAAAAGCTTGTAGATAAGACACCTGGGGGGTGAGAAGGATGAACGCGCACCGGCCACCAGCAGCGGCTCTGGCGAAGAAGCTGCACTGTCCGCACTGATTGAGGTTAACACTCGTTCGTGAGCAGGGGAGCAGCGGGCCCACCTCCACTCAGAGCAGCCACTTCAGCCATCTGTCATCAGCCGGGGAAGCCGGGGTGGGGGGCCCCTGCACCTGGTTCTTGTCACTCTCGGTGTTTACAGATCCACACTTGGCTTTCGGCTCCTTCACGGGGAGTCATTTGCCAGCCGTCTCCATAATGGCATTGAGACGTCAAACTGCTGTTTTCCTCCCACCGGTCGGTGGTCACAGCCAGGGAATTTTCATTCTTGATTTATTACATTGTCAGTAATCTCCAAGGGGCCAACAGCTGTCAGTAGGAGTTATGTTCAGTGTCTCGTTGACGGGACTGAGCGCCGTGCGTGCATCCTGTGAAGACAGAGCATGGTTCTCAGTGGGCGGGGGAGGGGGGCGCGTCAGCACTCACCCAGGCCTGCTTACCGACAGAGATGCCCAGAGGGGCTAGGCCAGGGAACCACAAGGCCCAGCACACCCACAGGCATGGTCCACAGGTGACTGTCACGTGAATGCCTCTGTTAAGAGCCCTGAAGTAGAATTTTGCTTTCCTAAAGGGTTAGTTACTACAGCACATCTTCAAAGTGTGTGTGTGTGTGTGTGTGTGTGTTTGAGATTCTGGGTTTCTTTTTCTCCTATCTAATTTCTGACTTTCCAAGTAGGTGTCGTGACTGTAGAGTTGAGTGTAGACCCTTTTTTTTTTTAATTTTTTTTTTTATTAGTGAGACACCATGAGGTACAGTTGTAGACTTACAAATTTTGTGCTTGGGTTTCAATTATACAATGATCAAATACCCATCCCTCCACCAGTGCCCATTTCCCACCACCATGGATCCCAGTATCCCTTCCACCCTACCGAGTGTAGACCCTTTGCTGATCACCAGCAGCTTTCATTTTGAACGTGTGTCAATGGGTGCAACTTTGCCAGAAACTCTAATATTCTCAAGCCGACCATCTCCAGTTTCAATGACCAAGCCCCAAACACAAGATTCGTAGATTGTTGTTATTTCAAAAGAACAGATACAGGAGCACTCACTGATCAGAACAGCTCCAGCCTTGTTGTCAAGCTGAACTTCAGATGTTGACTACCATTCCTTCCCCTTAATACTTTCTCTAGATCTTTTTTTTTCTTTTTTTTTTTCTGGGGGGGGGTCACACCCGCTGATGCACAGGGTCACTCCTGGCTCATGCACTCAGGAATTACTCCTGACAGTGCTTGGGGGACCATATGGGATGCCAGGGATCGAACCCAGGTCGGCCATATGCAAGGCAAACACCCTACGCACTGTGCCATTGCTCCAGCCCCTTTCTCTAGCGCTTTAAAAAAATAAGATAAAACTCGAGAGCCAGAGAAATGCCAAAGGCAGTGAGGCATTTACCTTACGTACAGCCAGCCCCAGTTTGATCCTGGATACCTCACACAGTTCCCCAAGCCCTACCAGGAGTAATCCCTGAGCACCCCTGGGTATGTGATTCCCCCCACCCCCACCATGGCTAAAATAAATATTTGGTGATTTTTAATTGATAAATTGAACACCTGCTTCTGCTAATATGAATGCACTTCCTAAGGGCTGTCTTAGAGGTGCCAGGCAGGAGAAGGTTCTGTTTCTGTCCTAAAGGCAATACGCACTCTCATACTGTGACTTCCAAGTTCAGCTGCCGAACAGGAGTGCAGTGTTGCCGCTCCTCCCTCCCCAAGAACTAGTGTGACTGCAAGGAAGGGCACACAGGCCAGAGGACCAGCTGCCGGAGCCGCCAGAGTGTCTGAAGCAGGCTCGGCTTCGAGGTAACAGCCTGCCCTGTGCCCACTAGACAAGCTCGTTCCTGGCTTAGCACGCCCGGGGAAAGGCCAGAAGTTCACAGCTGGAACTGCCGTCTCTCCCTCCCGGGGAAGACAGATCTTCACAGTAACTAGCTTTGCTCGGGTAAAAGCAAGTGTTTCACACTTCTCGGTTCCCAAGTCAAATTCCTAAAAATAAGACCATTAGAACTGCATGGGGCCATTTAAACAATAGCCTTGGAAACTCGGAGAATGAAAAGTTGGCATGGTTGCATTTCATACAGTAAATAGAATTTTCCAGTCTCCTAATATATATCAAAGCAGATAGCCTCTTGGACCCTCAACGTTCTGTGCCTTTGGGAGAGATAAATTTCCTTAAAGGGATTGCCTCTTTTGTGTAGATATCTTTCATTTTCCCCATCTGGAAGTGATTTTGTGGTGCATATTGGAGCATAAAATATTACAGTTAATTAAAGCATTACTGGCTGTCATTTGCGAGAATGTATTTCCTTACTGTTGACGGAAGGCAGAGCAGACTCAGGAAAGAATTAGCAACCCCTGAACTTTGAGCCCCTGCTCAGCGTCTGCCGCTCCCCGAGGAGAAGGGGTGCCCCTTCCCTGGCGGCTGGGGGAGCGGGGTCCGGAAACAGAGTGTGGTGTTCATCAGCGAGGTCCTGGCACGTCCAGCTGGGCTGGAAACACTCCCTGTAAACACGGTTGAAGGGTTCTGCTTCCGATTTGGACCCTTGTCGCACTCAGGCTTTCTGTCCCGGTGATTTCCTCCTGCTGCTCCTTCCTGCCTCCTCCTGGGGGCTGCCAGCAGATCTCAAATCTCAGAGCAGGGCATTTATCCTGCTGGTGGGCATTTGCAGTGGACTTGGGGGCAGGGGAGCCCAGTGTTTCAGCAGTGGATACTGGCAGTTCTCCCATTGGTTTGGTCTTGAGGTCGTTACCTAGTTTCCATTTTTGGTTGTTCTCTAACTCCCTGCTATAACAGGTCAGCGAGAGCCGGACCTGAGGGGAAAAGAAACACTTTCTGATGACCCCCAGAAGAACAGCAGAAGTGCATTTCCCCCCCTGCTTCTCCACCCAGAGAGACAGTCTTGACAGGGTAGAAGCAGAAGCAGCCTGGGGTTAGGGTTCCATAGTGAAGGTCTGGCCTCCAGGTCCAGAGCACTTTGCCAGTTTGAGCAAGTCAGTGATGCCTGAGCCTTCGCTTTTCAACATCAGTGAGGGGATTGAAGCGTAAGGTAAGGGTTATTATCCAAGATGAGGGGCTGGAGCAATAGTACAGTGGGAACGGTGCTTGCCTTGCATGTAGCCAAGCCGGGTTCAATCCCCGGGTCTCATATGGTCCTCCGAGTCCTCCAGGAGTCAAATCTGAATACAAAGCCAGGAATCAGCCCTGGAGCATCTCGACATGTGCTCCCAAAATAAAGGTCATCCAAGCCAAGCTTGTGTCTCTTCTGGTGCTGGTGCTGGTCTGCAGAGTAGAAAGGCAGAGGAACACTGCTGTCAGCCGTAAGCAGTACCATTGTCTCGTGCGTGTTACAACCAGCAGGTCTGGGCCACTGGGTGGGTGTGATGAGACAGTTTGGTCTG